TCTGATTGTTCAACAACATACCCTTTTTCTCCCCTCACCTCTACCGCATACTTTAGTGAACACCTATCTCCCCATTTCTTCTATCTTCATATAGGCATGAGATACTTATTCTCTAGACATCTTCTCATAAGTGAGTAAACAATCGTTCCATAGAACTGAAGTTTTATCAATTCCCATATGGACTAGTTGTTTCTATTTTCATTTGGAGTTGTATTGATTTGATGTAGGACAAGTACAGTTTATTTGTCTAACTAGGGATTTGAGAATAAAATCTAAATGTTATGCTTTTTTGGACATGATATTTAAAAAGTCTTAAACATCATACTTACGGGGTTAATTGCATCATACAGCTAGAAAATTGAAAAACTCTCAAAATATATTATTAAATACTTGAACATCAATAAGTGAAATTAAAAAGTTATTTATAATAATTTCTAAGTAGTTTTTTTTAAATATAATTAAATTAGGAAATAGTAAACTAGTAGAATCATGAAATACTAATTTTAATACAAGTAAGAAATACTAATAAGAATAAAATTTTAAGTTACTCAAAATACTACGCTATAGTAGTATAGACTTCTAAACAACAAGTAGTTTTATATTTAATATAGTTACAATTTCTAAATTGTTTTAGGAGATCTAATGCTAGCTCATTTTATATCATTGTCCTTGGTTGGAGAAAACTCGTCCATAAGTTATGAAGTAGTAAATGATATAAAATCTTGATACTTGGGCTTTCCTGTTAAAATTTAGCAAACTTTTTGCTCGACCATTCACTCAGCAACAAATATGATGGAAACACATAGCTATTTTATGCATTTGAACTCGTGATAGAAGGATGAAATCAATACATGCGCCAATTTGCGCTTCAATTTTATCCTTGAGTTCAACATCATTAGTCTATATTATTGGCTTAGGTTCCTCTTTGCTTTGAACTTCTATAGAATTCTCTATAGGTGGTAAAAGATCTTGAAAAGCTTCAATGTTTTATTCTTAGAAAGACATAACATTTCTTCTTGTCTCTTAACTTCGATGGGCTCATTCTCTTTACCTTCTTTATCGATTGCGGTTGCTTTTAGATATTTATATTTATTCATCTCTTCTGTAGTCAAATGTTTTAAAAATGCATCTTTTATGTTGCATGTAGAATGATAAGTGTTAGTAGTCTTATCATGTCGAGTATTTCAATTATAAAACCAAGGTTGACCTAGAAGAATACGTGTGAACATCACAAGAACTAGATCACACAAGATTGGATAACTATAGGTACCATGATGAATAGAAACAAGACTTTGTTGGGTTACCGAAATGCTTAAATTATCCCTCCAATCTAGTCTTTATGGTTGAGAATGATAGTGTCCAAAGCTTGAGTCGTTCAACCATAGATATTGAAACAAGACTTTTACGGCAACCTTCGTGAGTAACAAGCTTCTTTTATTTATTTCCAAAACGTGTTACGGTTTTTAAAATTGAAAAATACTTTTGATCCCTTTTCACTTGAACTATATAGTTGTGCATAACTGTTGTCTAGAAAAACTTGTCAATTCTATCATGCACAAGTGGTGACTTATCTCTTTCTTACTATTCCACATGTTTAAACATTTTTCGTTGCTCTAACTTGCATAGAGAGATTGCAAATTAGGGAGGGCCGATAGAATACCTAGGATCTTGCTGAACACTGGTTTGGGAGGGGATAAAGCGGTCTAGGCAAACCAGTTTGGTCAAACCTAATTCAGAAAGCCAAAAAAACATGATTTTGCAATGCTCACTCGCAGGTGTGCGCGCGCGGGTTTCACGCGCTAGCTTACGGTCATTGGACGGAGGTGATATTTGGTGAGTGGTCCTAAATGGAGCTGAAGATTGCAGGTTGGAGGTCATTGTGAGACACGGTTGTCTAGAAATATAGGATCAGGAGAGGCAGCAGCGAGGACGACTTGCATTGGCTAGTGGGATGTCCTTCACTAGAGTTTTCTCACAAGACTTTGGGGGTCTGCCGATCGGGACCTTCTGAGGCTGATGATAGAGGCTGTGTCGACCACCTCCAGGCAGTGGATGGTGAATAGAACTAGCAGCTGTTTTAGGGTTTACATGTTTCTTTCTTTGCGATTTTGTTTTTTAAAATTTCTTTTCAGCTAGTGTTGGGGGCCGTTTAGTGCAAGGTTTAGAGATTTGAGTGTACGATTACTTTAGCTCTGACATGTTGATGTAAGACAACTATGGTTTGTTCGTACAATTAGGGATTTGAGGACAAATACCTAAACATTGCACGTAGAATTTTTGGACATCACATCTAAAAAGTCTTAAGTATCACATTTTAGAGTTTTAAGAGTTTAATTACATCACGCGATCAGAAAATTAAAAACTTCTCAGAATATATTATTGAATACTTTTCTTGAGTAGGAAGTAAGAATTAGTAGAATCGGGAATAGTAATCCTATACATAAGAAATTACTAATAAGAATGATGATTCTAACTTACTAAAATTATAATAATACTCAACGATAGTATAGACTCTTTAATAGTAGTTTTATATTTAATATAATTATAATATCTAAACTATTTTGGAAATCTAGTGCTAGCCCATTCTTCATCATGATTAAATTTGACATAGCATCACCACAATTTTGTTGTGTGCGCATGTATTCATGCATTATTTATCACATTCGAGATACAAATATTATCATAATTCTTGCATCCAGCCAACGATGCTGTTCTGAATTGTGTCTATGCTTCATGTCAAATAATTATTTTCCATCTGGTTCAAATTTTGGCTTGTTTTATTTGCAGTTTTACTGTTGATGGAGATCTGTTATTTTATATTTCTTTTATTTAGAGATGTTTATTCTCAATGTGTGCTTTATGCTAAACGCTTGATACATCATCTAAGCATCACACCCATTTCTGGCCTTGTAATGTTCTAAGACATTGGGATCAAAATCTTGAGCCTAATTTTGTTTTTGTAGGTACTATGTGAATTAGAAGAAAAAGCAGGGGTCATTCAGGATGAAAGAGGTATACTACTAATTTCAGATATTTTCTTTATTACAAAATATTGTATTCTTCACATGGTATGTTCATTCAAAAATCAAATATCTTTAAGTCAAGATGCCGTTGCTAGTGTCTAGTCCCCTGGATCTAGTTAGGGGTTAC